TATAGGCCTATATTATATACGTATTCAGAACACAGATGGCGACTACCTATTGCGATGGTTCTGTTTTGATAGCACAATCAATTGACACAGATCTAGTATCCCTTTATATTGATTGGTTATTCCAAGGTATGGTATGGTATGGTATGGTATGGTATGGTATGGTATGGTATGGTATGGTATGGTATGGTATGGTATGGTATGGTATGGTATGGTATGGTGTGGTGTTCTATGGTACGTGTTTAACAACCATTTCAATGCAGTAAGTTGTGGGAGATATATTATAGATACGTATTTGAGATGCCTGATCTCTGAACGACACGTCCTTCTTCGACAAAACCGAACCAAATAAATTTTTTGTAGGTGCACATCCTTGAAAACTTCGTAAAAAAGCCTATGTTCAAATTATTACAAAGCCACACTGTAGATTCGTTGTCTACCACCAGGTTCATCACCACGTTCGATGTGCATGTCAAAAATACCAACTGAGCTAACGGCGCACAGAGATTTTATTTCATTGATATTGATAACATAACTCTTACTATAGCTGAAATATAATGTCCAAATGTAGATTCCGTTTCTTTTTTACGTAGATATTCTTCACACCCTCATAGACAAAATTAAGATAATTTCGGAAGCGGGGTTCGACCCAGCCCCAATCTGGGCAGAGAGAGAGAGATGCAACGTCCCAGCAGAAGGACCGAGATATCCTATGGAAATGTTCACGACATGGAAATCGAACCCGGGTCTCCTGTGTAGGACGACATAAAGCGGCTAACAGCTACACCACAGACGTCGGAGTAGATTCTTCCTATTTTCCTCCGTCCCTAAAGTCCACTGAACTGTTACTGTTTTGTATTCTGCCTCTTCCCCCACTGCTCAGTTAGCTATAACATTCCAGTGGAGTGGATGTGTATAACAAACAGACCATCTGCCCAACCCTTGAAGGTGAAACTCTTTTCACGATGAAATAGTGCACACACAAATGCATATCATTTATCAAATATACAATAGGCCTACGTGTTCTATATAATGTACATGTATCTTATCTGCTCAAAAATGTTGGGTGGTGTGGGATTCAGTAAAGCCTGAAGATCTTTTCTTTTTTTCTTTTTCTACCCTAATTCCTCGGAACCAGGTCGTGTCTCGCCTTCGAAATAATCCATCGACTGTACAATAGGGCATTATAAAAATACATCATCATCATAATGTGCTCAAACAAGAAATTAAAACCGTTTTCTCGTCAGGTGATGTGTCAAACGTGTGCTGTGTGTTGCTGGAAGTGCCAAAAGTTCCCCTCACGGATCGCAAAAACACCTACAGATTACGCTGGGTCATGTGGTGACGTCATCCCTTCTGTGTAGCCTTCACAATATTACGTTACCTACAATTGCAAAGGTCTATCTGCTCAGTACTTAATCTAGTTTTGAGAAATTTGATGTTAAAATTTTGAGTTTCACAACATGTCGAGATTTTTCGAATGCAGTTCTTTGACTATCTTGATAACGATTCCGAATAATCTTGCAATTTTGATAGAGTAGATAGAGCATGTGATTTCTGATCTCATGGTCTTAGTAACTCAAAACAGCCAAAGATGTCTGATAGAACTTGGTACCGGTAATTCTGAGGTAGCGATTATGTATCCGAAGCGTAGATTTGAATCATAATATTATCCTAGATCGGGCACTCAAACACTTTGTTGTCTAAACTTAGTTGCGCTGATGCGCACCATGGACACATAAATGAATGGTAAGAGACCAGTCTTACTACAATCGAATTCGCTAACAACCCTTCTTTTCTCGCCTTTCATTTGGTTTCAAAATAGTCAAATTATGTTGCGTTCCATGATGAACCGAACATGCGTTCTAGTGCAGCCTTGAGTATTATAACACAAGTCTATGATCTGAATATTCTGAACCACGTTGAGCAGGAATTCTTTGATTTCTCGCCATTACTTGAACTGACACAAGGAACCTATTCGGTTAATTGTACATTAGTTGTAGTTTCGACTGGTCGGCAAGATGAATACAACCACAACATTTATTTCAGGGACAGATACGGGCGACAGACTAGTATGTAATCTAACATTTAGATAGAGATCACTGGAAAAAAAGAAAAGCAGAAGTATGGGACCAGATCAAGGTTCTCTACGCTTTACACCAGCCATATTGCAAGGGAACAACTATGCTTGTTTTGATTGTAGTAATTATTAAATTAACCAAGTCTACGGCTTATTCTTTTGAACCCCTCTTTCCAACAATGATAATACGCTACTACTACTACTGCTATTTTTGCCGGTGCCCTTTCTAGTGATTACAAGAGTGGTTTACTTGCTTCTTGTGAACCACTGTGTCTGTACAAGAAATACTTGTTCCACCTGTTGTTAGAGATCTTCGAATTTATTGTCCAGATACATAATGTTCTAGTTTTTATAACACAAGAGGATACCAAATGTTATAAGGGGCTGTTCAAATATAATCTTACACCTTTTTAGGACTTT